AACCGTCACACCTGGGACGGACCTCGGTTATCCGTCAAGATGTTGTTCTTGAATGTGGAGTCTTTGGATGCCGATGAAAGAATGATCGTGCAAGCCGTCTGCTATAAGATGTTGCAGCGGCAACATGAGAAGTTGGAGGCAGCGGACAAAGAGGAGGAGGCGGTGGCGGAAATGGAGGCTAGACACGTGGCGCAACGACACTTCGAGCGTGGATGAGGGTTGGATTGCCGGTCCGGCAGGGCAAAAAATCTCAAAATTTTGCACGGACTGTCGGACGAATATTCTTTTATCATCGGACATGTAAAACTTAAGCATACTTGTCTGTTTTTGATGTGATCGGACATGTGATCCGGCGCTCGTGCGATCCAACACGCGTTATGGATCGGACTTTTATTTAAATTTCAAATTGTCCTTTACTGCCGGAGCAAATTTGCGGGTCGAGATGCCTTGACACGTTATACCTTCTTTTTTAGCGACACAACTAAAATAACCCTCGGGTTTCCGGCCAGCTCCTCTTCCAAGCTGCCCTGCCGGCTCCAGCGTCGTTCCGCAGTCCTCACAAATTCATCCATGATCTCCCCAGACGACCCAAAATGTTGGACTATTATCGGCTCAAATCCAGCTCTCAGCAGACTGGCCATCTTGTTCGGGGAGATCAGCGTGCTTTCCACATTGCTTGTAGGCTCATTCACTTGCATCTCCCTTATTGAGAAAGAACCCTCTGCTTGGATGATCTCCCTCAGCTCTTCATCAGAAGGTCCGTATATCGGTACGTAGAAAGTATCAAACTTTGCTTTTGTTAATCACACCCTATTGATTTTTTCAGAAGATCAAGATGTCACAGTCACATACACGATCTTATTCCGTTTAGGAATGGTTCAGAAATGAAACAAAACTAACTAAATCAATGTACCTTAATATAAGGACGACTGATTCCCAGGCATGAGTGAATTCGGCAGCAGGTTCTTCAGAGCGCCTCCCGGCAAGGGAAACAACCAATCGCCCTCCTGCAACCAATTCTTTGGCTCTCAGCTCAAGAAAAAGCTTGAAATCTTTCCTGAACTGCCGCGCATAGGCTCCGATGACCACACGCCGTCTTCCTCGCCTCACGTGCTCGTCGATGTCGTATGCCGGGATCTTGTTCCTCCTCAGTTCTTCAGGAGCCTGGAGTCACCTCCAAAGTTAAACTTACTGCGCAAAAAGAAACAAGTCGAGCCGTGTAAATTTCATACCTCGGAGAGCCAGTGCAGGCTGTTAGCCGAGCAGGCGAGATGCAAGGAGCCAGTGGTGAAGAGCCTCCCGTAGAACGACCCTGGTATAACACCGGTGACGACCGACCTGTGGCCTTGCTGGAACGCCACCAAGCTCTTCATCACCATGTTGAAGTCGTTGTCTGGAAGATCGTTGAGGAAGACGCAGACTTCCAGCGGCGGCTGCCGGGAACGAAAGCACTGACCGCGGATGGCGTCAACGGCGATCGACACCAGAGCGAGAGCGTTTGGGCCGGAGGAGCATCCCAGGTCCGCGACCACCATGCTTCTGGGCATGGAGGCGCTGGCACTGAGTAGATCGGCGATGGCCTCTTCTATGAGGGGCCTCATCCTGTTCTGATCAGCGTTCTGCAAGCGAGTTTCATGGTGACAGCTAGGTGAATCAGTTCTGGCGGAACAAGACATGAGAAACTCGACGGCTGTGAAGCAAGCAAGAGAGGAGAAGATGCCTGCAGGCTGGAGTTGCGGGCATAGCTTGTGTCCCCTTGTCCTCCGTTCATGTGCACCGTCTGCTCGGAAGCCATGGATCTTGCTCAAGCCGGCTGAGCTTCCGATCTCGTGCCTGCAAGATCCAGATTAGGAAAACTGGTAAAGTCTCTGGGTGCTCAGAACTTAGATTTTATTTTATTATGACACTCACATGAAGATAGCTATTCTGGCGGCTTATTGGCACCAATAATTAGGCCACTGTTCTATCTCTTTTCTTCCCTTTTTTTGAGAATACTGTTCTTTCTTTTCAGTCACTATTAGGACCAGCCAATCGAGGGCGATAAAGGTCGAGTCAAATCAAGATAAGGATATACTAGCACTATGAAGTTGTCAGCACATGAGCCGATAATTGTTTTCAGTTGACGAAACAGTGATTTCTGTTTGGTGAATTTGTTCAACCGTTGGTTCAGTACCAGAAGCAATCGTTTCCAAATTTTAATCTGCACAGATACCGACTTCTCCTCTAGTCCATTTTAGCGATGATATCTGTATATGTGAGTGTTTCTTTAGTGTTTATGTTGTTATACAATGATGAGGTCTTTCTGTATCCTTTTCCTTGTCTGTTGAGCTAATCTGGAATGCACAACAGCAGCTCTACGTATAAAAAAATAACCTGTGAAACAGCTTGGCACAATTTACTCAGGATCATCTTCTTATCCCAAGAAAAACACATACTATCTCGCAAGCTATGTATTTTGAAGGTTCCTGTAATAAACATACTCAAAAAGCTATGTATTGAAGGTTCCTGTAAGCATGAAAAGCTATGTATGTATTGGAGGTTCCTTTTCTCTGACAAATTCCTGGAACAATAATCAGTATGATCTGTCCATCTACCATATGCCAAAAAATTCACAAGAAAATACGTATATACATGAGCGTTTCATCACTCGTACAAACTCTTATTATTACCTCTACGTAGGGACACACATAGATACAGAGTATTTCAGGCGCACAAAACAGAGCAGCAGGGAAAGGCTAATGGCACGAGCAGACTAACAACTGTCTGCCGCGTATCATGGACAAACACGAGCAGCTGAGCCAGCTCGCCATGGCGGCGGGCGATCACATGGACTTGAGCATGGCGGTGGTGCATGAGCCGCCGCCGTACTTGTACGGCAGCGCGGGGCGGCTGTAGTGGCAGCCGATGAGGTAGAGCGCCAGCCGCTTCTTGACCCGCCGGAGCAGCAGCAGCTTGTCCTCGCCCCACTCCACCACCGCCGCCACCACCTGCCGCTTCCACCGCCTGTCGCGGCCGCCGCCGTCGCCGTACCGGTCCTCGTCGTCGTCCTCCGCCCCGCCCTGCTTCTCGTCGACGCCGCCGCCGGGCGCCGGCGAGTCCCACTGTAGAGGGTAGCTGCGCAGGAACACCCGCCTGGTGCTGTAGTCCTCGTACCGGAAGCTCCTCGTCGGCTTCACCACCGCCTCCTCCTCCTCCCTGGATATCCTCCGGCCGAAGTGATCCTCCATTGCCGACGACGACGAGGCGATGATCGTTGGCTTTGGCTGCTTGGCTTGCTGCGCCGCTCGCTGGCTGAGCCCACAATGCGGCCGATGCTGCGCTTATATGGGCGGTTAAGCGGCGGGCGGCCACGTCGGCTTTCTTTCATTTTTTTACCCCCTTTCTCTTTTGTCGTGCGTGGGCCGTGTGGGCGAGATGGTTTAATTAATTAATAATAATTCGCGCGGTTTGATGTGCCTGGCACGGAGGTGTTTTTCAATGCTTTCCGGGCCAAGGATTTCCTTTGCCGGTAATCTGATGGCAACCACTCGGACGGGCGACTTTACTTGACCATTTTCTGCTCCTAAACAAATGCTATTCAGTTTTGTGCTAAGTTGAGATTCTTGCAATAGATCGGGCTGCCTTTTCTCAACTACGGGGTACTTACTAGTAAAATGGAATAGAAGCTCTTTCTACCGCCAAAGGCTATGCTGAAGCACAAACACATTTTAAAGATTTTACACATCACTAATCTCTTCAGAGCATGGTCAATGCATAACCCCAGCGTGATGTCTCGTAACGAAATAAGTGGGCGCAATGACCCCAAGGACAAGCGGGCCCCCCTTGCCAGCCACACATAACAATATCCGCATCTACGAGCGAGATTCCGGCTTTCCGAGCAGGGTGAAATGGGCTCATTCACCGGCATCTCTTTCCCAAATTACTTTTGGCCAGCTTAACGAGAAAGTAATACGGAGTGTTAGGCCATTTGATCCACATTCGCCCCTTTTCTGCTTTCACTTTGGCAAGGCGGGCCAAGCAAAAGTTTCCCAAAGCCAGGATGGAGTGGCTCTGCAGCGCCGGGGCTTTTCACCGGATAACGCACATGACGCGCGGCGCCGCCGCACAAAGCCAGCCCGCCGGCGGTGACACGGCCGGCCAGAGCTTTCGCCGCTTTTGGCCAATCCTCGCGATATGCGAAGGGATTTCACGTCAAACCCATGCCTTTTTCCTCGCGCCCGCGGGAGAAATTTTAATCAGGACTCTTCGGGCTGGCTTTTTCCCTGCTGAGCTGATGATCTGATCCGCCGCGCCGTGTCGATGTGGTATGACCTCGACTGCAACGGGGTTCCTTGGAGTGTTGGGGGCCGGCGTGGGCGTACTGGACGGTGGGAGCTGCGTGTGCGCTTGGCTGTTGGCGCACGGTGCGTCCGTCGATGTTTTGTTTGGTTTCTGCGTTGGCATGTGGAGATGTCGATGTCGGGTACGCCTCTTGGGTCTCCACGCTAAGTTGTTCGTCAGATTAGAGAACGAAATGTGGCTGGAGAGAGCGAGAGAGGTAGGCTCGTCTGATCCTAACCGGATTGAATTTGCCTTTTGGAAAGAGAAATAGGATTACACCTGTCTTTGCGACGAACAAACATGATTAATTAAAGTTCCTTAGCTCAATACGCACATGTGGTAACAAGCCTCCGTCCCGAAAGCTGTATATGAAGAGGAGTCGCATACGTCATTAGTCCATTAACTCGAACTGATTACATGGTTTAGGCCAATAATTTGGAAATTGATCGGTTTAGGCCATAAACTCAAAACCGATCCAACTAGCTTCAAGTTGGGAATCGTTTTCTGCGAGGCGAAGACTCAGGGGGCTCGCCACTAGGTTTCCTCAGTCTTTCGCCGGCCGCCGCTGGTCCGCCTCGTTTCCTATGGTCCTACGACCATGGAAGACGTGATGGATCCCGGTCTTTGTCAGCGAGACGGCTTCCTTGTTAGGTGTTTTTTTCAATCTGGATAGGATTTGTGCCATATTCAGGAAGATGAGTCGATGGCGGCTTTCTAAAGATCCAATAAGATTCTCCCCGCCTATCCTCGTCCCGATGGTGCTTCTAGCGTCGTCGGAGGGCATGTGGATATGTGTCTCCGCAGTAGATCTCGTGGAATCCGGTCGTCCTCCTTGTTTGATTGCTTTAGATAAACTAAAAATAATTAGAAGGTCACACGAGTCTGAGTTAAACAGGGCTCAAGCCCGCGACCCCAGGACAGAACCCATGCTCAATTACCATTATAATGCTAAGAGATTTGTGTTGTAAATATGCCCTAGAAGGATTAATATTTTGTATTATTTATTTCCATGTGTATGATACTAGTTTTGCATCTAGGACTAGCTCAAGTGTTGTGTGATGATTATGTTTTCCTAATCATGAGCAGGTGTATGTAATCCCATTTAGAGTAGAACCATCAACTAGCTCAAGTGTTGTGTAACGAGGATGCTAAACAACATTTAGAGTATGATCTTAGTAGAACCATCATATTGAATTAACCCAACTGTTTGTTATACTTTGAGATGTTATCATCAAAAGTCTATAAATATAACACAGAGAGTTAATGTATGTTTTAGTTCCTTAGAACGTGAGAGTGTTGTAGTCACTTCATACTAGACAGTAATCTTTGTGGTTCCTCAAAGTCATTTGTAAGAGGGTGATCATAACGACAACTTACAGGTTCATCAGAAGGTGTGACAAGGGGCTAGGTAGCTCAAGAGTGGGATTTGCTCTTCCGACGATGGAGAGATTTTCATAGGACCCTCTCGGTGTAACGAGATCCATCATCGTCTGGCCAAACCCAGGTGATGAAGGAAATATGACCTAGAGGCAATAATAAAGTTGTTATTTTATAGTATTATATTTCCTTATTCATGATAAAGATTTATTATTCATGCTAGAATTGTATTGATTGGAAACTTAAAACATATGTGTATACATAAACAAATACCATGTCCCTAGTAAGCCTCTACTAGACTAGCTCGTTGATCAAAGATGGTTAAGGTTTCCTAACCATAGACGTGCGTTGTCATTTGATAAGGGGATCACATCATTAGGAGAATGATGTGATGGACAAGACCCATCCGTTAGCTTAGCATAATGATCGTTCAGTTTATTGCTATTGTTTTCTTCATGTCAAATACATATTCCTTCGACTATGAGATTATGCAACTCCCGGATACCGGAGGAATACCTTGTGTGCTATCAAACGTCACAACGTAACTGGGTGATCATAAAGATGCTCTGCAGGTATCTCTGAAGGTATTTGTTGAGTTGGCATAGGTCGAGATTAGGATTTGTCACTCCGAGTATCGGAGAGGTATCTCTGGGCCCTCTCGGTAATACACATCATAAGCTTGCCAGCAAATTACTAAGGAGTTAGTCACAAGGTGATGTATGACGGAATGAGTAAAGAGACTTGCCGGTAATGAGATTGAACTATATGAAGATACCAACGATCGAATCTCGAGCAAGTAACATACCGATGGACAAAGGGAATTACGTATGTTGTCATAACGGTTCGACCGATAAAGATCTTCGTAGAATATGTAGGAGCCAATATAGGCATCCAGGTTCCACTATTAGTTATTGACTGGAGAGGTGTCTCGGTCATGTCTACATAGTTCTCCAACCCGTAGGGTCCGCACGCATAACATTCGATGACGATATAGTATTATATGAGTTATGTGATTTGGTGACCGAATGTTGTTTGGAGTCCCGGATAAAAACACGAACATGACGAGGAGTCTCAAAATGGTCGAGAGGTAAAGATTGATATATAGGACGATAGTATTCGGACACTGGAAGTGTTTCGGGGGGTACCAGGTACTTATCGGGTCACCGGAAGGGGTTCCGGGCACCCCCGTCAAAAGATATGTGCCTTATGGGCCAATAGGGGAAACGCACCAGCCACAAGGGGCTGGTGTGCCCCCCATATGGGCCGGCCAAGGAGGAGAAGGGAAAGGAAAGAGAGGAATAGGAGGAATAGGATTCCCTCTTCCTTCCCTCTCCCCCTCTCTTTCCTTCCCCCTCCGACATATATGGCAGGGGCGCGCGACTAGGGAGGAGCCCAAGTAGGATTCGGTCCTACTTGGGGTGCCTCCTGGCCTCTCCCCTCCCCCTCCCACCTATATATATGTGGGGGGCGCCTAGCACACCCCAGACAATTGTTTAGCTGTGTGCGGCGCCCCCTCCACCATTTACACCCCAGGTCATATTTTCGTAGTGCTTAGGCGAAGCCCTGCGGGGATCACTTCACCATCACCGTCACCACGCCGTTGTGCTAAAGCAACTCATCTACTACCTCGACGTTGAAGGAAATATGCCCTAGAGGCAATAATAAAGTTATTATTTATTTCCTTATATCATGATAAATGTTTATTATTCAAGCTAGAATTGTATTAATTGGAAACATAATACATGTGTGAATACATAGACAAACAGAGTGTCACTAGTATGCCTCTACTTGACTAGCTCGTTAATCGAAGATGGTTATGTTTCCTAGCCATAGACATGAGTTGTCATTTGATTAACGGGATCACATCATTAGGAGAATGATGTGATTGACTTGACCCATTCCATTAGCTTAGCACTTGATCGTTTAGTTTGTTGCTATTGCTTTCTTCATAACTTATACATGTTCCTATGACTATGAGATTATGCAACTCCCGTTTATCGGAGGAACACTTTGTGTGCTACCAAACGTCACAACATAACTGGGTGATTATAAAGGTGCTCTACAGGTGTCTCCGAAGGTACTTGTTGGGTTCGCGTATTTCGAGATTAGGATTTGTCACTCCGATTGTCGGAGAGGTATCTCTGGGCCCTCTCGGTAATGCACATCACTTAAGCCTTGCAAGCATTGCAACTAATAAGTTAGTTGCGGGCTGATGTATTATGGAACGAGTAAAGAGACTTGCCGGTAATGAGATTGAACTAGGTATTGAGATACCAACGATCGAATCTCGGGCAAGTAACATACCGATGACAAAGGGAACAACGTATGTTGTTATGCGGTCTGACCGATAAAGATCTTCGTAGAATATGTGGGAGCCAATATGAGCATCCAGGTTCCGCTATTGGTTATTGACCGGAGACATGTCTCGGTCATGTCTACATAGTTCTCGAACCCGTAGGGTCCGCACGCTTAAAGTTTCGGTGACGATTGTATTATGAGTTTATGTGATTTGATGTACCGAAGGTAGTTC